TTAATAGCATGCTAGTGAAGAAAAAAATCGTGTTAATACTTGGATGACAAAACGGTTCTTCTCGTTTCCTTTTAGTTTGTTAAAATCCAGGCGAAATAGGTTAATACGTTATATTTGAGAGCAAATTAGATTATGGGTTAGTGTTAATATTTTTTATATATTTTTTTTAAATATATTTTTAATTATAAAAATAACTTTTATTTATTATTTAATATTTTTATTAGATAAATTAAAAAAAATTATATTTATGTGTTAAAATAATTAATTATCATAAATCATTTAAACCTAATTGATTAACTTTTATAATTTAAATTATAATATATTTATATATTTCAATAATATAACATAAAAAATATAATATTTTTAATTATAATTTTTTTTATTTTAATTTTAATATATAAATATTATTTTAAAATGGGTCAATAAGATAATTTATCCTCTTGTTAGATTTGTTGAGTGGACGAATTAAATAGGATAGACCAAAACATGCTTGATAGACTAAAATCACCAATCTTCGCTCATCATTTTTTAGATGAGTTAACAGGTCAACCGATAGGTCTAACTCGTTTTTTATCCCTAGTTGATACCAATAAAAATAGATAAAATAATATTACATTTTATGCTATCAACAAGGGAAAGAAATATTTTTAACATCAGAATTGAAAATATAAGTTTAAGATTTAAAAATTCAATCATCGAAGTTCAACTAGATTTATTAAAATAATATTTTTACAACATAACAAATATATAATAAATTTATAAGTAATATTCTTTTTATAAAAGATAAAAAATAATAAAAACTATTATCATAATTATCATAAATTATAACAAAGATTATAAATATAAAATATACTAAAGAGAGAAAGATGGATAATTATTAAAATAAGATAAAAATATAATAAAAAATATTATTTAATGTTGATGTAATTAATATAATATTAAAAAAAATTAAAATATATTATGTCTTTTATAAAAAAAATTTGATCAACAGTTGCTTTTTACCAAAATCGTTTTGAAAAAAAAAACTAATTAATTTTTCTGATTAATTTGATTATTTAAAAGTAATGTACCTACGATTAGTTTCAGGTTAAGCCAAGTGAACCGATCCATCGGTTCGTTTTTTTTTTTTTTTAAACAATGAAGAAAAGTCCATATTACCTGTTGGATTTTTGTGGATATTCTCACATAAGTATTCATAAAGAAATATTTAAGGATGGTGAAGTCTTCTATACTATTTTTCATAAATTCAATGCTAACATTAATATTCTTTATCATCTTAATATTCTCATTTCATCCAAAATCACTTCTAATAATTTATTATCTTAATTTTTTTTACAATAAATATAATTAAGAAAAACAATATAATTAATAAAAGGGTAATTAATACAACCTTAAACTTTTACAATAAAAAAGAAAGATATAATTGGTAAAAGGTTAATTAATACAATTTTAAACTTCACAAATCATTGAAACAATTTTTTTCTCAATAAAATATAATATATTTTGAAACAAGTGATTAAATAATATTTTGATCAACTTATATTTGAAACTAAATCATTTTAAAAGATTAATTTTATTTAATCATCTCCTTTTTTTTTCATTTATGTTGTTAACCTTTTGTATCATGCTAATTTTTTTGTGACCCTCATTTTTGTAGTACAAATAATGGAAAATATAGATAATGTAGATAGTAATATGTTAGGTGTGAAAAATAAATTTAGAGATTATTTTTTATATAGATCTTTGCATTTGTAGATTAATTTTGATGTAAAAATTGAACTTGTGGGTGTAGTTGATTTGTGAATTGCTAAATAAGTAGGTGACCAACCTCGAGTGCTTCATTTTCAGCAATTGTTAATGCTACAATGTCTTAATATTGTTAAAGTTATGATTTTTAGAAATAGAAAAGAATATAATAGACGTGAGATTTCAAAAATATTATTTAATTTTTTATGTAAAAATATTGAAACTTTATATAATATGACACTCATTAATAATACATGAAAATATATTTAAATACTACACAATACTACACTTTTGTGTTGTTTTTTTTTCTACACATTCGAGGACTTATTTTACATATTATTATTCACGAAAAAATATATTTGCACAACATTTTTTTTTCATGTAATTAGTAATTTGTAAACTTATTTAATTTTTATAAGAGAATAAAATCAATTAATTAAGCATAATGTTGTTGAACAACATTTTACTATTTAAGATTTTTAATTAAATGCGGTGTATGTTACAAACACACAATCAATATAAATAATTATTTTTAATAGGTATTTATTATAATAGTAATTACATCCAGATAGTAATGTTCTGAATGTTCCTTGCATAATAATCTTTTTATTATTTCACAAAAAAAAATCTTATTATTCATTTGTGTCATTGCTCTCCAATACAAGATTTGTAGGTTAATTATAAAATATTTGTATAATTTCACAAATATAATATAATAAGTGTAAATTTATATTTGTATTACATATTGAATGCATATCTAATACAAATAATTTATCATCTTAAAAAAATATAATAATTACACAATTTTTAAATACTACTAAAAAAATGTCCAATAATAACTGAAATAAGTAACTAAAAAATTTAGTTAATCAATAATTAAATTATTATTTTTTAGTTTAGTAACTGAATTTTCGATCACATAAAATTAGTTACTATTTCAGTCACTTTAGTATTTAATTTATTTATTTTTAATTCATTTAATTAGTATCTAATTATTTCAATCACTCTGTTACCCTCTCAAATTTCATCTTCTTTGCGCTCAGAATTTTCAATATGTGTAACCACACTTATCTGACCTTGTACTAGCCACTGTTGAATCCCATTATTCTTGTTCGAGCTTAATCACCCCTTCTCTCCAACCCCAATCCTCCACCCTTTTATTCAGCTTTGAAGCGATCTTTAACCCAGCCTGAAATGTGAACCCGACAACTTGAAACCTAACATCCGTGATCTGACCTCAACTCCGATGACTTGAAATCCAACCTAGTGACTTGAATCTCAAACCTCAGTGACCAAAACACCCAATCGAAACCTAAGCGACTTCGAACCTCGACCCCAGGTTCAACCGCGACGAACTCGAGGCTGAAACCCAACTTCGACAACATCAAACCCTAATCTCAAGTCAAACTCAAATCGTCGTGGTGTGAAACCCAACGCAAACCCAACTGACCTCGAACCCTAACTCAAACCCTAGTGATGTCAAACCCTAACCTCGACCCAACCCCACCGATCGTGAACCCCAACCCTAACCTAAACCTCAATGACCTTCAATCCAAGCGACCTGAAACTGTGGCGACATCAAACCCTAACCTAAGCCTTAGTGAGCTTGAACCTAACCCCGACGACCTCAGTTCCAACTAGAACTCAGGGAACCTCGTACTAGAACCCTATCCGTGATGAACTTGAATCCTAACCCGATGACCTCAAATCCCATCCCAAAACTTCACGACCTCTAACCCGAGTATAGGACATCACGAACACGACCTCTATAAACACGGTAATGCTTATTCAAACCATTTGAATTTCCTTATTAAATCTATTTTTACATGATATGTTTTTTCTATGTGTTGATGGATGCGGGGTTGGTGTTACTAAAGCGAATTTCTTACTAGATTACAAATTGGAAACTTGAGTAATAGTTCATTTAGGTTGGTATTACTGAATCTTTAAATATAATTAAGGCCACACCGTTAAATTTGTCTCTAATCATATATTTTTGTTCCTTAATATATGAAATACAAGAGGTTTAATGACTTGAATGGACTTGATTCAATGTGAGTGAATTACTATAATTGTCTTTTATTCTATTATTTTCTTTGGTTGTTCTTTTCTTTAGGTCATTGGTGTTGATTTTACAGGCCATAAAAATGCATATTGCTTTCAATCATTTAACATATAGTTGAATTATGGACCTAAAGGAAATAGAAAACTCACTCAATATATTCATTTAGAAGTGGCATGAGAGTGGAACTAGATTATCTGCCAAGTCAATACTACTAGCAGATAACTTATCCTGTGAGAGACTACCAAACTAACCCCTTTCTTCTTCTAAACCCTTAACAAACTGTTTAAGGATCTGTACTATGGACATTGACAAGTAGCTCCATTACACTGATGGGAGGCATTAACAACACACTCTCCAAAACTTGAAAGAAAACTAGATGTAAATATTTATTAGGGGTAGGATGAGGGTGACGGAGTAGAAAAAGACACTTACATGTATAACCAAAATAGGACATTTGACTGCACCAACTTTATGAATATACATTTTGAATAGAAGAAAAACAATATTTGTGTATGTATTATATTCAGTTGGTTGTTTCAACATGCAAATAGGTGATTGTTAAGTTGAAAGCAATAATGTCACTATAAAAGAACCATCAACAACACCATAGTATTTTGTATAAAATTTTGGAGGCTCACACATAAATAAAAGTTTCTTCAATGTAGATAAACATTTAGTCATAAAACCATTTAAAGAGTTTAAATGTTGTCCTTTTACATTCATTAACAAACAGAACTATTCTAGAATTAAGAATGTTAGGTTTATAATATCTTTTTTAAGGTTTATTTTTAGTGATCAAATTATGATAGGATATAAAAACATGACAAGAATGTAATAGAATAAGAGCATGATAAATGTTAATTTTATCCAATGTTTGATGCATACTAGATAACAAATCAAATAACATTATTTTGTTATATTGTCTTATATTTGACATGAACTACATATTAATTGATAATATTACCTTTTCATTAAAATTACATATAATTTGCAAATTCATGATTATTATAGGTACTAATTTGAGAAGTACAAAATGTAAATGATGAGATATTAATAGTGTGTTTTTGCATACCTGCATATTTTTGGAATTTTTGTACATGCTAATTTATTGTTTTTCCTTGATATTTTATAGTGATAGTATAATTTTGAATTGTAACTTATCTAGGAACCTTAACTTAGTTCCTAATGTCTAGTAATTGTAGCTTACCTATAAACCTTTAACTTAGTTGGCAAATTTTGAATTTGTGATCAGGAAAAGCTAAGAATTCTTAAGCCACAATGGATAAGCCATCATACCATATAGTAATTAACGAATGAACCACCATTTTGTATGAATCTTGCAACCGAGAATGCCAAGTCTTCCGCTGGTCTAATAGGGACTGCACCACCAAAATCAGTGTACCTACAAAAAGGGAGATATGAAACTTACTATAGGACAAAAAGAAACCATCTACATGGTAGAATTTGTTGAGACTTACCAGCCAGTCCAATTCTCCGTCCACATTTTAGGTTTGGTGTTCTTGTTGGGCTTGAAGTTTTCACAGTAGAACCCATTGCAGGTGTCAATCTATATATAACATAGTCAGAAAATTAACACAGATCAGAGAGAAAGATGAAAGATGAGGGGAATCTATTTTCCTGTGAAAACACAAGCATTCCCTCATTAAGTAAGCATATAATTGAAACCAAATCTTGCACTTTCTCAAATTTTCTTTTTTAAAAAGAGTAAAGGATACAGAAGCAAATCAACCACTGCACTTATAAAACAACCAAAACAAATAAGCAAGAGAAAAGTGAAGTTATTACAACCGTTGAGATAAGCCAAAACACCTTCCTCAAAATAAATAAAGGTAAAACTAACACAGTAAAAGGGTCAAATGGGCTTATGAGAGAACATAATAAAATATCATGGTATAGTAAAAGCAACAACCTTATCCCAACCAAGGCAGCCATAACACTGTTTACAAACCCCACCACCATTTTTAAATGGGTCACCAAAATTTAACAGAACAGAATCAGAATCATGAGGAAAAAGTCTGAAAGTCATCTTGAAATCCAAGTCCACACACACGAAAATGTTTTCCAGGATGAAGAAGTAACTTACAATAGGATCAGGAGCATATTCTTGCTTGCACATAACCCATGGAACACCAGTGTCTAGACCAACAACCATTTGAGCAGCCCATTTCGTATATGCTTTTCCAGGAGCACCAATTTCCCATTCCACTGGTCCATACTCGTTTTCAATCTGTCAATTCAATTATAAAACACCAAATTAAGCACCATCTTATTCTAATTGGCTCAATAAACTTTATAGTAAAACAAAAAACTGAAAATAACCAACAATACAAAAAAATATATACATATAGTCTTTTATTTACCTGTGACATGATTATGTAAGTTAATTTATAGTTTTCTTACGCTCTTAATTCATTATAGAAAACTACTCTACAGGATCTTTAGATTATTGATTTTCACAATATAACATACATCAATACATGAATCATAGTAAGAAGATTAACTTTGATTCATGAGAATCTATTCTTTAATCTTTTTGTTCTTCAATCTCTTTTTCTTAATCTATCTTTCTTTCTCTTCTCACATTTTCTTGATGGTTCACCATAAAAAAACCTTATGACCAGAGACAGAACCCTAATTCCCTTTTATTAATCAATGTCCATCAAGTTGGTTACCGTAAGTTTTTATTTTATTTTATTTTATTTTTAACTTCACATAATAACCAATAGGTCCTTATATTTATTAAATCACATTTGGGTCCATCATTATATTTCACATGAGTAACATAATAGAATGAATTAATTAAATTAATTCTAACATTCTCCCACTTGACTCATGTGATGTCATACAATTCTGTGATTTAATACTTAAGTTATAATGCGCATTAAAGGACCTTACATAAATTGGTTCTATCATTATTCATAATTAAATATACAGCTATAACAAGAGTCATGACAGTTACATGTCATTCAATCGACATACTCCCTTCCATGTACCACAATATTATCTCTTTCTCCTTAATATGACTTTATAATGAGAAGTCCATAATGGGTTCAAACATAATATTATCTCAATAATAATAACATAATTTGTTTTCTTCATCATAATTTGCATGCATATAAATAAAGAAGAAAACACAAATTTCAGAAACTTATACATTAAAGATCTCAGAGTGTCATATAAGCATTAATAATAACATTAACATTCAACATTCACTACTAGTAAACATAATGCCCATATTCATTATATGACCAACAAACAACTTGGGCGGTAATCCCTTTGTTAAAGGATCAACAATCATAAGATCAGTGCTAATATGTTCTATTGACACTCTCTGTTTCTAAACTTCTTCTTTAACGACAAAGTATTTCAATTCCATATGCTTAGCACCTTTGGAATACTTGTCGTTCTTAGAAAATATGACTGCTACGAAATTATCACAATAAATTTTCAGCGGCTTGGCAATGTTGTTGACTATTCCAAGTCCTAAAATAAAATTCCGCAACCAATTAGCTTGAACTGTAGCCTCAAAGCATGCCACAAATTCAACTTCCATGGTGGATGCAACAATGACAGACTGTTTCACACTTTTCCATGAAATCGCTCCTCCGACTAAAAGATATACATAACCAAATGTAGACTTTTGTGTATCCATACAACTAGCAAAATCTGAATTTGTATATCGAATCACCTCAAGGTGATCAACATTCCTATAAGTAAGCATGTGATTCTTTGTTCCTTATAAGTATCTTAAGACTTTCTTTGCAACTTTCCAATGATCCATTCCACGATTACTCTGGTATCTACCTAGCATACCAACTGCAAAGCTAATATCTGGCCTCGTACATGTTTGAGCATACATCAAACTCCCAAAATAGATGCGTAAGGGATATTTTCCATCTGTTTCCGTTCCAAGTCATTCTTTGGACATTGCATGAGACTAAATTTGTCTCCTTTCTGTATTAGAACGGGAGATGCTGAACAATTCTCCATTCTGAATCTCTCTAAAACTTTATTAATATATATTTTCTGAGACAAACCTAACAGTCCTTGTAATTTATCACAAAATATTTCTATTCTTATCACATAGTATGCCTCACCCATATCTTTCATTTCAAAGTTGTTAGAGAGAAACTTCTTAGTCTCACTTAATAGACCAAGATCATTAGTCGCAAGCAAGATATCATTAACATACAGAATCAGAAATATAAACTTGCTCCCACTGACCTTCAGATATATACACCGATCAACAGTGTTTTCCTTAAATCCAAAGGATAGAATAATATCATTGAACTTAAGATACCATTGTCGAGAAGCTTGTTTAAGTCCATATTTTGATTTCTTAAGTTTACACACCATGTGCTCTCTTCCTTCTTCAATAAACCCCACCGGTTGATCCATATAAACATCCTCCTCTAAATCTCCATTCAAATTGGCAGTTTTAACATCCATTTGATGCAACTCAAGATCATAATGAACTACTAATGTCATGATAATTCTAAAAGAATCTTTCTTAGAAACAGGTGAAAATGTTTCCTTATAATCAATGCCATCTTTCTGAGTAAAACCTTTGGCAACAAGTCGAGCCTTATAACGTTCAATATTACTATGAGAGTCACGCTTAGTCTTAAAGACCCATTTACACCCAACACTCTTGCATCCTTCTAGCAATTCCACAAGATCCCATACACCATTATGTGCCATTGATTTAATTTCATCTTTCATAGCATCTAACCATTTGTCAGAATTATCACCATTAATGGCTTCTGAAAATGAAACTGGGTCATTATCAATACTTAGGTCATTTTCTGACTCTTGTAAATAAACCATGTAATCATTCGAAATAGCATACTTTCTTTCTCTGTAAGATCTTCTTAATACTATTTCTTGTGGTTGTTCTATTATCGACTCATTGTTAATCTCGGGATCATTAATTTGTTATTCTTCTTGATTGTCCTGTGGTTCTACAACATGTGGAACAATTCTTGAAGAAGATGTACTAGTTACAGGAACTTGTATTCTAACTTCCTTAATCTCTACATTTCGTGAAGCTTCACTCCTGCTGGTTTCACCATTTTCAATGAACCAAGCATTTTCAGTTTCAACAATTATTGTACTATGAGTAGGACAGTAAAAAATATACCCTTTTGATTTTTCTGGATAACTAATGAAATATCCACTGATTGTTCTTGCATCCAGTTTCTTTTCTTGCGGATTATAAATTCTAACTTATGTCTGACAACCCTAAACATGTAGGTGTCTCAAACTGGGTTTCCCACTTGTCCATAACTCAAAAGGAGTCTTTTGAAACGCTTTACTAGGAACCCTGCTCAACAAATACATGACAGTCTTCAAAGCATACATCCACAACGATACAGGTAAACATGAATTACTTAACATGCTCCTAATCATATCCATTAAGGTTCGATTACGCCTTTTTGACACACCATTTTGCTGCGGTGTGCCTAACATTGTGTATTGAGCATAAATACCATGCTTCTTAAGGAACTTAGCAAACGGACCAGGGTGTTGTCCACTTTCATTATATCTTCCATAATACTCACCACCTCTATTTGACTTGACAATTTTCACCTTTCTATCTAATTGCCTCTCCACTTCATTTATATAACATTCTAAGGCATTTACTGCTTGAGATTTCTCATGTAGTAAATAAACATGTCCATAACACGAGAAATCGTCAATGAAGGTGATGAAATACTTCTTTTTATTAAAAGAATTTACATCAAATGGACCACATATATCAGTGTGTATGATTTCAAGAAGTTGAGTGCTTCTTGTGGCTCATTTCTTTGTATGTTTTGTTTGTTTTTCTTTAATACAATCCACACATATATTCAGATAAGTAAAATATAAATCCAGAAGGATTTCATTCTTTACTAATCTTTGCATTCTTTCTTTGGAAATATGTCCCATGTAACACCCTACCTTATAAACCCTCACTCGGAAGAATTAATAATTTTTTAGCATAATTTTTTTTTAACCGATAATAATCTTTCCCTTGTACATAATATTAATATACATAAATTTTCAATAATACATTCCTGTATTTCATCATTTTAAAAAGTACTAAAAGTAAACATTCATAATTACATATAGATAAAATATTAGTACAAGTCCTCCAAAATATTAAGGCAACATTGGGGATACTTCCTACAGAGCGACTAACTACACAAAACAGTGAATACTACTCAGTACCATGTAGGTCTATATACTACAAAAGACTATCTATAAAAGTTTGGATATGTTTATCCCAATACATGTTGCCATCATTGTGGCTCCCAGCTAACGAGTATGAGTATCATACTCATCGGGTGTGGAATCTATGTCATCTCTCCTCTCTTCAAAAAATGACCGATCAGGTCCAACGAGTACCGCAAACACAAAGGAAATAAAGAAAACAGAAAGACAAGAGGGTGAGCAACAGTTCATACATCATTTTAAAATCAACATCATAAACATTCACAAGTTAATCAAATTTCAAATGATTGATGTTAATGATGCATGATCCTAATATGTTTTCTAAAATGTTTATGCATGCGGGCTCGAATCATTTCTCAAATCGATGACTTGGGGTAGCCAGGAGTTGACACTACTAGGCATGGAAAATCCACCCACGGGATTGTTGAGACCCATGCTCAAATATAAACCCGAGTAGCTCACCGACCATTGATATACGGTAAGAGCACAGTCAGGTATAGCAGAGTTTGTACAGTGGGATCCCCGACAATAGGTAGCGAGCCTGGGTCTTTTGGGGCCTCCAACCACTACCCTTCCTATCCTCAAGTCCTCCCTCAGGGCCTCCCTATCGTATTCTCAGAGTCCATAATCTCCGATTCCCCAGATTTCACAAATCACCATTTTCAAATGAGTAATGTATGAGTCCCTAAGTGTTTTTTCTTAGAAATTCACATTTTTCCAAAAATTTGACAGAGTTTCCCCGTAATACGAGACTTCCCAAAAATTTCCAATCACCTGTTACAAGCAAAAAACTTCCAATACAGTTCAAAAAGGGTTCACAACCCATCATCCAATTCTTTCAATTTAATTTTCAATGAATTTTCTCATGAAAAACCACCATGCATATAAATGCTCACTCAAAGACCATACATATCATAATAGAGTACCAAGCATATATTTTACACCATCATACACGTAAGCAATTCATGATCACTTTCACAACCAAACATATAATGAAATCAAAATGATCAA